TCCACACCCTAATACCTGGGTCCCATTTGGAAGGTTCATTTGGAATGTGCTCCATTTGGAATATGGAACCTGATTATTTATTATCTGGTTCACATTGAGCACCTCTTCTCTTTCTGCCTCTTTCTTTGCTTTGTTTATTCTCTAGCATTATTCCAGACAGTCTGTTTATCTACGGAATGGAAGAGATATTTTGTTTTTGTTTAAAGAACAGGGACTTACCGTGTAGCTGGGCATGGTGGTCATGCCTGTAATCCAAGCTGTTCAGGAAGCTGAGGCAGGAGGATCACAAGTCCAAGGCCAACTTAGGCCACTTAGCAAGATGCTGTCTTAAAATAAAAAGGACTGGAGAAATAATTCAGTGGTAGAGCACCCTTGGGTTTAATTCCCAGTACTAAAAACAAACAAACAAACAAAAAAAACAACACACACACAAATAACAAATCCAAACAGGGACCACACATATAATTTACCTATTGCCCCAAGAATGCCATGTAACAAACTGTTGAACCTTGGTGGCAGACAGTAACTTCATGTCATGCGTTAGGAGGACACTGGGAGCAGTTCTGCTGATCTTGGCTAGCCTCACTTGCATGTGTCGGGATGATTGGCTGTCAGCTGACTTAGACTGGCCTCAGCTGGAACAACTGGGGGACTTGACCCTGCCCTGTGCGCATTCTCACCCTCCAGGAAGCCAGCCTGGTTATGCCTTTCTCATGATAATGACAAAGGTGCAAGAGGAAAAAAGCAGAAATGTGCAAAATTTTCTCAAGACCAGGCCCCCAACAGGCATACCATTCTCTCCACCTCATTGGCCACCACAAGTCAAGTCCAGATTTCAAGGGATGGGGACATAGACTCCTCCTCTTTGGGGAAGGGAGCAGCAAAATTATCGCCTACAGGCTGTGGGGGCCTTTGATGCTTGTCTACCATAGGACTATGTCATTTGCCTCTTATTTGTATTTAGGCTGAAGCTTTGCAAGTAGTGAATGCCTAATGAGTATAGGTGGCATAAAAGTAAATAAAGTTGCCATTAGCTAGAATTTCTAATCAAGATTAGGTTGGCTGCATGAGGTACACATTAGCAGGAGTTTATCAGCTAGAAGGAAAGTTTATATAACATCCAAGCTGAATCTGAATTTTTCCTACTTTGGGTGCAGGTGTAGCTTGATTGCCACTAAGAAATTCCTCTTCTTATTGTCTTTCCCCCACTTTCAGAATGTTACAGTGTAAATGTCCAGAAAAGGGGAATAACAGAGAGGGAGCTACTGCCGGCCACCCTGAAGTGGACCCTCTGAACGAGAGGTTTTGTTCCATGTGTTGAACGTCGGTATATGTTAGAAGAAGCAACCTCTGACCAGTGTCTTGTTTCCCACCCCTCAGAGGTGTGCACTGGAAAGAGGGGTCCATGGACCAGCAGCTGCAGCGGCAGTACCTGGGAACTTGTCAGAAATGTAGATACCACTGAAATAGACACTCCTAGGGGGTGCCCAAGAGGCAGCTTTGCAAAGCCTGGGGTGACTCTGATGTGGATGAAATTTGACAACCTCTGTCCCAACCCCTCTGGCCCTGGAGACCCTAGCACAGCATAGTCTGGACCTCGCCATAGCCAGAAATACACATACAGAACTTTTTGTCAGGACAAAGCCCAGCAGGGGTTGGGAGTGTCCCATTCCTATCCACTGCACCTTGTATTTTCATTCATGAAGGTACACCATACAGGGCACTTGATAAACCTGCCTTTGGTTATTACCAGGTGCATCTTAAGGTTGGAGTAAGCTCCTTCCCAAACACACTAGGCCTATGCCAGGGCTTGAGACAAAGCAAACTAAGGTTCAGACACCTCCTGTCCTCTCTCCCTCAGGGACTCACAAGACCACTAGGCCTGCAGTTTTCCACATCTGGTACGAAGAAATCTGTAAAGCACATGACGCAGTAATGGCTGGTACCCCTTGAGGAGTATTGAACAAGGTTAATGGCATCTTCTACCCACATCAGAAAAGCTCCTGTTTGCAGCCCTCAGCCTTTTGGTGAAATTCCAGTCTCTGAATGAGGCCTGGCCTGTGACTTGGTGTTGACTCTGCACAGACACCTCATCTACCTGGGGTTCACATGTGTGCGTGCATGTGCATGAGACAGAGCCAGACTGAGGTGGTTACCCACTTGCTGGCTGCAGGGTTGATACCGGTTACCTCAGCCATGCCCCTTACTTCCCCTTGATGGAGACTCACACAAGCTGCTTCTGTTTGATTCACATAGAACCGTGAGAAACAGTCCCATATGTGAGGCCGTGTTTTTCATTCTATTCAGTCTTTGTATATTCAAATTCTAGTTTCAGCTCTTGCTGTTCTGCCAGATTTCCATCGCATTGATGGCTTCTCTGAATTAATAAGTGTTTTGCAACTGCTGAAAAGTTTTCTCCCCCCCAAGCACTGGGACTTATCCATATTGATTTTTTTTTTCCCTTTCTCTTTCCTCTCTAGCTACTTTCTTAGATGTTGTATTTTGTAAAGTGTTAATAGAATTTTTCTTTCACCCTGACACTCTCTGTTGAGGGGGTCTTTTCGAGTCCCATTGTACAGCTGGACTGCAGAGGGGGGAGCCCTATTCTTTTCGACAATGGTTGCCCCTAAAACAGCCCCCGATCCTCCTCCACTCTCACCAGGGTGGAGGGAGCGTTGGGAAGCTGAGTAAGAAAATATCCAAACTTAGCAAGAAGAGGAGGGAGCCAATTACGCCCTGTTGAAAGGGGGTTTTGAAAATACATTTTTTTTTCATTCAAAATATTTATTTCCTAAGGGGATCTCAGTTGCTGTACCAAAACATGGCCAACACAGAAGGGGAGCTGTTTTCCTTCCCGTTAGGCATTTTCAGCTCAAAATAAGGATCTGGCAAACATCTCAGAAAACTGTGGAGATGGGTGCGAAACAGATGTCCCATTTACCTGCCTGGTCCTCAGCCGGCCCTCTGGCCCCCGCCCGCACCCCAGGTGTTGCAATTCTCTTCCCATCCCAGGGTCTGAGTGTGAGCTGCCATATGCTCAAGTGTGACGACTCCTCTGAGCACAGACACACCAGTTGATCTGGTGCTTTTTCCAGAGCCGGGCTTCGTAGGCAGGGTGGCTGTTGTGTGTTGTGACCTCAGCAGGGGCTGGAGGACTCCTCAGGTCGGCTTGGGATGGGCTCCCGGGAGGGGCCTGGGAAGGAACCCCTGTTTCATTGATCCCCAAACTGGCATCATCTACTCCTATCAGCTGGTGTCTGAGAGAGGGCAGTTCCCCACTAGAGGAGTCACCAGGAGGGCAAGGCCATTCTCCTCCCAGCAACTGACTTCAGGGGTGGGGACCAGGAGGGGAAGGCCCCAGGAGCCCATCTGTTCAGGCTTGGGTTGCTTAGCGACAGAAGGGGGCCCTGCCTCCAGAAGTGATTCTTAACCTGACCAGTCCCTTCAGGGTTGGTGACTGGCTTGCCTACCTGCTCTCCCATTCTTACCTGGACTTTGCTCTTCCCTCTGTTTTATCTGATGACATAGAAAAATTCTAAGCCTCATTTTATTGCTTTGCCCAGTGTCCTCTCTGGCAAGAGTGAGGAATGAAGAGCCTGTGATTCCTTTTCCCAGCTGGCTTAGCTCAGGCTCCCAGGCTCATTTGTGAGCCTTTGAGCACAAATCAAGGGTGCTCAGTTCTTTTCAGCCACACCCCTGGCAGAAACTGCTCCAAGGGACAGAGCCCTTGGGCAATAGTTCTGTCCACCCACAATCCCTCAGGTCGGGTTATGTTTCTGCTGCAGCCTTGGGCACAAAAGTGCTCACCTGGCCAGACCAGGTGCTCCCCTAGTGAGTAGCTGGTTGGTTAGGACAGAGACCTGTGCTCCAAATGTGTCTTGTAAAACAAAGGGCTGGGCATAAACAAAAGGAATGAATTTCATCGCCAGATCTGGTTCTTTAAGGAAGAGTCTCTTGAGATGTACATGGGAGTTGAGTGTGGATCCTGAAATCTTCCTACTAGAAATATCCCAAACAGTTACAAAATGTGTGGGGGAGGGAGTCAGAGGATGACTTTGGTGTTCTCCTTGATGTTTTTTAAAAGGTCCCAGCACCAATGTATGAGTTTGCTAAAGCTGCTGTAACAAAACACAGAAATTTGTTTTCTCACAAATCTGGAAGTGAAAAGTCCAACCTCAAGGTGTGGCAGTGTTGGTCTCTTCCAGGGCCTCTCTCCTTAGATGACCTTCTTAGCCCTGTCTCTTCACTTGGCCTTTCTTCTGATGTGTGCCTGTGTCCTAATCCCTTCTTGTGAGAACACCAGTCATGTTGGCCCAGGGCCCACTCTAATGACCTCATTTTAACTTAATTATTTCTTTAAAGATCCAATCTCCAAATATAGTCTTATATACAGTACTGAGGGTTAGGACTTAAACATGTGAATTTGGAGGAGGTTATAGTTTATCCGATAACAATCCAGATTTTTGAGTTCCATTGTTTATAATGGGAAACAATTTAAATATCTGTCAGAAGGGAAATAATTAAGTAAGCCATGGCTTCTTGCTTCATGAAATGCTATACAATAATCAAGATAGTATTTATGATGTAACGACCTGGGAATTATTTATGATTTTCTAATGTTACTGGTAAGAAAACACACACACACACACACACTAAAACTAGGAAAGAAATTCCACATATAATATAATTTAGACCATATTAAACCATAGATTTTTTTAAAGGAAACACTAAAAGGTAATACACCAGATGTTAGCTGTAACTGTGCTCAATATTAAAATCAGCAGTATTTTTTTCTTTTTATTTCTTGGTATGTTCAAATATTCTTTAATGAGCAACTATTATTTCTGTAATGGAAACTGCCTCTCCCATCAACACCCAGTATATGTATATGTATATATATGTATGTATATATATATATATATATATATATATATATATGTATATATATAATGTATACTTTTTGAAAATTCCTAAAGCAGCCTCTTTTCTGTGTTTTGCAGGTGGAGGATGCGATGCTGATGTTTGATAAAACCACCAACAGGCACAGAGGTAAGATGACCCCAGCATACAAAGTGTGTCCCTCCACCCTCTTCTAGCCTTCGCCTCCTCTCACTCCAGAGTCACTGACAAACGATACAGGGAAGAGTTCAGAATGAAGTAGGTAGAGGTGACCATCTTTGAGGATCTGCATTCATGGAGGGCTATCAAAGCACAAAGAAAGCAGATAGTGGACAGTCAAAGCCCGCTTCTTTCTTGGCACGGGAACCGTGGTTAAATCACAGAACCAAGCCAGCACCCACGTTCAGATACACCTTTCTGATCCTGGCTTTCTTAAATCCCTTGCTAACCTCAGCAGTAAGTGATCTTAGTGGAAATTATTCATAGCAATTACTCAATTGAGTTCTCAACTTGCATTGAAAGGAGGTGGTTTAGAAGCAGACTGTCCATCTAGAGATAGTCCGAGAAGCCTTGTCTTGGGTTTGTTTGCCATGAATAGCGATTGCAGATGTGGAAAATACTCTGCGGCACCTCGGAACACTTACAAGAAGTCTGTACTTGTTATGTTCTTTCCTGTGCTCCTCTTGTCTCATCCCTATTACAGAAAACGGGTCTCAACCTGTAGTTCAAGAACCTTTGAAATGATATGCACTTCTCTTGGGAAAGGACCCTTAGCATTGGACAGATTGCCCACGGGTTCTCCAACCACCATCTCCCAGAAGAACACATTGAAATTATTGCTTTGAACAGAAACATTGGAGGAATCTAGAAAATCCTCCCCAGAGAGAGTAGTCAAAGGAGGTTAGGATTTAGCGTCTCATTCTCCTGTTCTCCGGAAGCCCCACGTTTCTGGGGTTCCTATTAAGAGGGTGTTAATGAGCAGAGCTTCTGAAGGGGGAGGCAGGAAAGGGTGCGGGGTGTTCTCAAGGGAGGGATCTGTGGGTGAGCCGTGTTTCCTTGCCACTTGGATTGCATTCTGATGTTTCTTGCGTTGTTTACATTCCTGCTGTCACCTGTGATTAGAAGCAGCTACCCGGTGCTAACTGTATGTCTTTCCTGTTTGGAGAAGGTAGCTGAGCAAAAGGCTGGGAAGGAGTGAAGGGGGAGTGGCTGCTGGCAGGGGGTGGGAGAAGGCCATTGTGCCTGGTAACCCAGCTTCTCCTGTACCCAGCTACAGCCAGAAAGACACAGTGGCAGAAAGTGTTTGTGGAGGGAAGGGACCCTCAGCGGGGGAGGGGGAGGGTGGTGAGTCTTTGTTTGGTGCATTGCTCTGGAGAGAGGGCTAAGAGAGAGAGGAGGGTGGTGATGGGCAGTTTGTAATTACCCTTGGACGTCGCCCGCAGCGTGTCCGTCCACCATTATGGATTCCAAAGCTCCGATGCTACGTGCATCGTCCATTTGGGCCTTTGCAGAGCTGCAGGAGGCTGGTTGTAACTTTGGAGAAAAATCACTTTACTTTTGTGCCTCAGTTTACTCATCTGTGACAAAAGATTCTTGGGAGAGTGCAATGCCAGACACAGACTTGAATGAGCATGAATGTTAGCTCTTGTTATTATCATTGTTGTCACCTCCATTTTGGGGGCTGAAATAATCAAGGCTGGAGGGGTCGGTGGCTGATGTACCCCTTCCTAGCAGGGGCTCAAACCCACGGCTGCTGATTCCAAATTCTGCTCTCTCTCTGCGATGTCCAAATCAATGGGCCAGGGTTGTTAAGAAGAGCATTTTCATCGATTTCTTTTCAAGGTGAGCATTGCCTTGCTGAACATGGCACCCAGTGTTCAGCGTTAGGGTTCACAGACCTGGAAGGCTCTTAGGCGGCCTCTAGGGATCTTCTTGTTCTTTCTTCTTCTTTATGCCCCCCTCTCCCCTGTGCTGGTTTCCCCCAGGACCTCAAGCCTGCTAAGCACATGTTCTACACTGAGCTACCCACCCAGCCCCATGACTTTGTTTTTTGAAGGTCAGTGGGAGAAATTGGTTTTGATCTGCTCTACATCCAGCCCCTTCCACAGTGTCATCATCTCCTCAATTCTTACAGTGACACAGGGACAGAAGTTTGTCATCTAAGGATCATGAGAGGGCCGATGACTTGTTGAGGTCCCACAGGTAGGAAGTGGCTGAGATGAGATTCACTCAGGATATGGGAGTTCTGGGCAAAGCCCCAGAGGATGCCAGAAAAAAATTCCTTACCGCTAACCAGAGCCTCATGCAGGAGGTGAAACCGCCTCTCTGTTTCCAGAGGGTAGAAAGACAGGAGGGCACTGGGTGTAGCAGTGGGGTGACGGTTCATCCGTGACTGGTGGGGTAGACATTGCCTGTTAGGAGGTGGAGAACTCTCAGTGCTACAGCCTAGGGCTCAGAGTGGCTCCAGGATGTCCTCACTCATGCTCTGGAGTCCAGACTCCAGTGGGCATTGGGGGAAGATTGGGCAGAGCCTGGTGAGTAGGTGGAGCCTGTGTGAGCAGTTAAGCCCCCTGTGGTAGATGCAGGACCAGCACTATGATTTATGGGGCTCAGACCAAGAGGAAAGGTGGGCCTCTTTTAAAAAAAATGATTAAGAATTTCGAGGTGACCACAGAAGATTAAACCAGGGCAGAACCTTCTGAGCAGGCCATGTGCAGTTGCTTAAGCTGCACACCATAAAGCTGACCTGAATGGATGCAGCCTGTGAGCCCTATGTGATGCTGGTGGGTGGGGGAAGAGCTGGAAGGGGGAAGGTGTGCTGGGAAGTTTCTAGAAGAAAGGCCTAGCACCCGCCTCCCTTCTCCCCAGTCTCCCCAGGGTCCTTTCTGTGCAGGTGGGAATTTTGCCCTGTATACATTTTCCATCCCCTCAGAACAGCCCAGGAGGAGCTTCTCTTGGCCTGGATGCTAAAGCTGGGGTATCCCTGAATTTCAGAGCACTAAGGGGAGCAGCGAGAAAAGAGCACATCACCGCAGAAGCACAAGGCATGTGTGTAGAGCACAGGCCCCACACCTGAGGCCTGAGGGAGTGTGCCCTTGGAATCAGGTGATGACCACAGGAGAATGAGGTAGTCCTGTAGCCACCTCGCTGCAGCCTCACCTCCACCTGCTTATCATTCGGCCTGCTGTCATCTCATCAAGAGGGAACTCCTCCTCCTCCTCTCTCTTCTCCCCCTCCTCCTCCTCCTTCTGGGGATCTAACCCCAGGGCCTCGGGCTTGCTGGGCTAATGCTGTACCACTGAGCTGCATCCCCAGCCCCTTTAAGAAGCCCAGCCATGATCCAGAGTGTTGTCACACAAACAACACAGTGGGCACTTCATTAAGCCTCTCACCCGGCCCTGTTGGGCAGCTGGGGTACCGGTTCATCCTCAGGCCCAGAATGTTGAACTCTAGGTGTGTCCTCAGAGCCAGAGCACCACAGCTTGAGGGAAACAGCCCACTTGGGCCATACTCAACATTAGAAGCCAGGGGTCAGGGCAGAATTTCCACTCTTGCCCCCAGTGGCCACCTCCTGTCCCTGCTCGGTGTTGTCCCTGTGTGAGCGGGGATGCCCTCAGGTACATCTTGTGGCCTTGCTAGGACTGTGGGAGAGATTCCTGGGCATGGGAGACCACGAGCCCTCCCTGCATGTGTTTGCTGTGTCCCGGCAGCAGGCTGAGGTCAGAGCTCGGCTTCCGCCTCACACTGTGGAGCGGTACAAGTGTGAGGTCTTCCCATCCCCGAGGAGCACGGCTGGCTTCCAGCTCGCACCGTTCCCCTCGCTGTGCATGAGGCACTCTTCCTAACCTCTGCCAATATCTGGGGTTCTTCCTCAAGAAAACACAGGAGCTGGGATTGAGGAACCCCAGGATCCCAAGTACTTGTCTGGACTTTAGCTTTTTAGCCACTGAGGATTTTTTTAAAACTTTTTAAAAAAAATTTATAAGGTGGGGTGGTGTGAGCAGTTGTTGTAAATGGGGTTCCCCAGGAAGGTGCCTTTGAGAGGGGACATGGGGTATAGGAGATTTATTAGAACATGCTTTTGATTGGGGGTGAGGGAGGGAGAAGTCACCCTGTGGTCCCAAAATGGGGTGGTCCTTCCTGTCCCCCCTGAGGGGAGAGAATCCTTTATATGCGCCTGATCAGTCACTGGAGGCAGCCACCAGTGAAGCTGCTGTGACCTGGTTTCGTTGTGCTGGGGAATTATTGTAGGGGACCTATAGCTGGGACTTTCCCCTAGCTGCACTCCCAGCAGCTGGGGAAGATTTCCCTCATTCTAGAAGACTATCCCGGCCTTCTGTCACAACACCCGCCATGGTTTCTGCCATTGTGGCTTCTGTGGCTGTGTAAGCAGGCCAAGTCAGCCATCTTGGTGGATGTAGCCAGTACTCTCCGTGCATTCACCATACAAGTACTGAGCCAGCGCATACCTGCACACGGGGCTGAATTGTAGGGCAAGTGGCCACAGGTGAACCAAGCCACCCAGAGTCGCAGGCAGGTAGATGCAGAGCTGGGACTTCACCGGTCTGTCTGACCCGCTGCCCAGTCTCTTGGCCACTCTGCAGGCCTGGTGCTATGTGAGGCCCTTGTGTAAAAGCAGTGGAGTTGGTGACATCAGGAGCTGGAGCATTTCCTCTGCACCCCAGGCCTTCCTGCTGGACCACGGGGCTATCCATTTCCAGATGGAGAAATTAAGACACATACCGTCTGGGGATGTCGTTTAGCAGGCTCCTGGAGCCACACGAGGAGCTGAGCTACTGCTAGAAGCTGGGACCGTCCTTGGCCCTGCCCATCACTTCATCCCTTGAGACAATTTGTGCCCAAGGGGGAGAGAGGGAATGGTGGCTATCTCAGTCATTTCATTTGCTCTCTAAAAGTTGTTAGAGGTGGTCTGAAAAATATTGGGCAGATCATCAAAGGATTTAAGCATAGCGGGTGCTGTGCAGGGAGTTTATCGCTTTATCCTTGCAAAACTCAGATAAGATCTTGAAGTCAGCAGTAGGTATTGATCCTAGGGTGGGGCTGGGTGGGGAAGGACAGGGAGAGAGGAAGCAAGGTGCTGTCCTTCTAATTTGGTCTTTTGCTGGCAGGAGCTGGGAATGGAGAGCCAC